CCAAAACAAAAGGTTTCTAGATAATTAACCAATGCCGTAATCTAATATTGATATATCAATTAAGGACTGAACTTTCATAGTTGTCAAAACACAATCATTTCTTCTAAAAATACTGATTTTTTCTTTTGTTTTGCTTTTATTTTGCTTTTGTTTTGGTTTTGTCTTGCTTATATTCATCTAATTTTTTATTTTGATCGAAATTGTTTGGATGTTTTAATTTATAACTAGAATTTGACCCGCACCCCTGTGTGGATGTTTGATTTAACTTGTGTTTAACGTAAATTCATAAACCGTTGGTTTTATAAAAAAAGTATATATTTTTATGTTTTTAGTTTACATATAAATTTATCAATTTAGAGACTTCTCTTGTGACTACAATTGGTAGTTACAAAATTTTCTGACTAATTTCTAACCAATTTGCCACTAATTTGCAACTATTATTATTATGTAATATAGTAGTCGCAAATATGACACCAAAAATGAGTGATGGTACTTCAGTCGCATATTTAAGACACTATAGCAACTAATGACAATAGTTGGAACACGATAGCATATTACAACTATTATACAACTGCATATGTAATTGCAAACCTGTAGTTACATATTGGTCGCAAAATATTAGAAATTTGGTAGTTGCAAAATTGTAGCTAGTTTTGCAATGTGACTATATGTGTTTAAAACCATGTGATTAGTTGTAACGTTAGTCCATTGTCTCCCTGCATAGTTATACAGTAACTTATTTGCAACTCCTAAATGTAATATAGTCGCAATATAGTTGCAAACAATATTACTATTTATAGTTATATAGGTTTAATTTTCATATGCATTCATTATTTACTATATATGTTTACTTAATATATTCTAATAAACCAAGATAACTCTATCTTGAATAAGTTTAGTTATAATTTGGTCCACATATTTTCATATATACAATTGTTTTGTAACTTATATAATCGCAACTTCTGAATATATTTAGTTGCAATGTAGTAACAAAGAATATCATTATTTTACAACTATTTATGTTTAATTATTCATATTCATCAATTGTATACTATATGTTATTAATTGATTTTCTAATAAACGAATATAACAATGTCTTGAATAAATTTGAGTCATTTTTATAAAATTTGGATATCAACATAAACTTACAAAACACATCTGTTACATAAATAATTTTGTATTAATTTCATGTGTTTTCATTAGAACTTAGATTGTAAAATATTAGCATTAAAGTACTAATCTGTAATGTCTCATATCATAGTATATATTCTCTTTATAAATAACTACTTTAAGCTATATTATAAGTTATTTTAGAGTTTTTTTTTTACAACCAAAAGGCTGATCTATTACTCAAGTTATTTTAGAGTTTAAGTGATGTCCAAGTGTCTCTATATATACATAATTATTTTGTAACTTATGAGCAACTCCTAAATATATTGTAGTCGCAGTGTAGTATCAAATAATATCACTATTTACAGTTATATAAGTTTATTTGAGACTACTTTACAACTCCAGTCATATGTTTTTCATATAGTTTTTAAATTTATATATTTTAACAAATATTTTACTATGTAAATGTAGGAAGCAATCTAACAAACCCAATACTAATAATCTATTAGAGTGTTTTACACACAATTTCACAAAGTGTGTAATCTATTGCTTGAATTTGAGTCATTCATAAGCTTTAGACATGCACACAATTTCACAAAGTATATGATACGTATGAGTATTACAATCAGTATATACTTATTTGGATTTGGGTTGAACATTATTCATTTAAGTTGTTTTATTTAAAATTACAAGATATATGTATTTAGTATGAAATCAAATATTATTCTATACAGAAGTTGGATTATTCAAATTAAATACATGAAACTTAAAGGTTTAGGGCTTCATCAGTTACTAAATTGCGACTAAAAATATGATATGGTCACAAATTTGTGACAAATTATTCAGTGATTATATTAAAAATAAAGACTGAATTTTGATTGGTTAACAAGAAATGACAAGGATCACTCCCAAAGGTTAATAACAGTCATTGATTAAATTTGATCTAATGGACAAGATTCACTATTCTTCTCTTTTACTCCTTCCTCACAGAGAATTAACAATCTGTCTCTTCTCTCTCTTCACCATCTCACGCTCTCTTCCTTATCTGGAACAACTTCTACATTGATCAAGTTCCATTCCCTTCAGTAGTTCAGATGTGGAGTAAATCTCATCTACAATCCAGATTTTTCATAGTCGGTACTCTCTGTTCCTCCTGTTTACCTCGGCGTTGATGAATCTCTTTTCTTTTTTCTTGTACAGGAGCCAGGAGGTGACGTGATTCGCTGTAGATGCCGTGGAGATCCAAACGGAGTAGATTTAGATTATAGATCTAGGTTTTTGTATTTTTTTTCTTTTTGACAAAGATGTAAATTTTTCTTCCATCAGATCTGGATATTTGTTATAGTGTAGATTATTATGATGTGATTTTGTATGTAAAAATTGTCTTGTAATTCTATTATTAAATTTCAAATTCTATTTTTAATTACGAATATTCTCAATAGAAAAATGTAATTGTTAAATTAATACTACAATTTAAATTTAATAATTCTACATTTTACAAAATTTAAACAAGTGGAGTCTCTTACTAGTTACTAATTCTGGGACTCCTTTGTGACTGTCCATGTTAATAACTCATTTGTAACTACTATGATTCTCTAAGTTCTGAGACTAATTCGTCACTATATACATTTTTTAAAATGATTGCAACTGTGTTAAAAAAAAAAAATGATTGCAAGTTTGCAACTATACTATGACTTTGCCTTATCATTATTTATAATGTTGCAAATTAGTCACAAAAATTACTACTAAAGTTATAGTTACAGGGTAGTTGCTCTTCTCACACTATTTTGCGACCACATTAGTTTGCGACGAGCTTTTTCTCACTCCGAAGCGTAGTTGCAAAATAGTATTAAATAACTGTTTTGTAACTCATTTGACACGAATCATGTAGTTTCAAAAGTGATGTTTTCTTGTAGTGAAAGTAGAATATATTATTTTATAATATAAATATTTAATAATATTTTTTTTATTTGTACATAATATTATATTAGAAATTTTATAACTTGATGCAATTTGATGTAATTGTACTTTTCATATATTAACATATTTTTCGTTAATTTATTTTAAAATTAAACAATACTAATAAAATTCATTAGTTTTCCACGAATTATCATTAATATTATGATATTTTGTTTTCTTTGAAAACTGAACTCTCAAAGTTTTATATTTGACTAAATTAAATAAGATAAGATTATATTAAAAAAATTATTTTAAATAATATATACTATATATTTCAATTTGTGTTTTTATTTTCACCATAAAAAAGAAATAAAAACTATTGTAATTAATTAATTTAAATGCGATAGCAAAATCTGTAAATAAAAATAAATACAAAAAGAAAATATTTAATTTATTGTAAATGTAATGGCTAAATGTGAAAATAAAAGAAAGTACTTGATATGCTATTCATGTTTTCAAACAACTTTCATTTATACGACTATCTTTATTTCCAAATAGTACCAAAAAGTATTTCAGTTTTAACCTCTGTTCAAAAATGTGGACGCCTTGCCGCTTATGCTCCCGATTAATCGTAAATCAGACCCTCTCCGCCGTCGTCAGCCAATTAATCGGTCCAATAAGTCGATTAGTCGGTCCACTCAATGATTAGTCGGCCCATTATTAGATTAATCGGTCCACTAACAGATTTTAATAGAAAAGGTATATTAACTGTGAAGATATTAACAAAGGTTGAAACATGTAGGAAGCTATATATAGATCAATATTTCCCTTCTTTTTTCCTCGGCAACTGATGTGGAACTTTCTCTAATGAGATCAATAATCGAAAATAATGAAAATGCACTGATGAGGTCAAACTCGGGTTGGGTGGCGCCATAACAAGGGTTGCAGACCAATGGGAGACATCAGTTTCTCTGTTAACTTACGCATCTGTTAATATATATATATATATATATATATATATATATATATGCATATAAATATTATAAAAGTACAACAAATTAATCTCTGATTTTTTTATAACTCGCTAGGTTCGGAATCGCCGCCCGACTAGCACCTAGCGTAGTTTCAAACAGAGGTTTTAACTGAACCTTTATTCTTCCATTCATACATAATTTTAAAGAGGAGGATATCAGGGTGGAGATGCGTAAAACTACACAAAATATTTCATACACAATGATGTAAAAAATTTAAGACTTTATTTTTTCCTTAAAAAAATCTTTAAAAAAATTAATATTGTCAAAATACAGTATGATTTACCCTCTCTTATTTCTGAAATACAAATATCTACACAAAAAAAATGGGAATAACATCTTTCACAAAGAAGTCATGCTAATATTTCTATATCGGAACCTTTTCTTTCCTACTACCAACGACAATCACAAATTCCGCCCCAACTAACTGATATGTAAACGCTAACCGGAGATACAACCTCAAACTTCAACTTCTATACGGTCTTCCCTAAAATGGTAAAAGTAAACCTTACCTCCAAACCACAAAAAGTTTGAACAAGATATATGTAGTAAGTAAATAAATAATATTGTATATGATGTGTAACTGATAGGGAAGACACACAAACAATGGTGGAATGCATGAAGAAGACAAAACACCAAACACAAACCAATTAAAATTTATAATATTTACTAATATAGATACTTAAAAACATAACAAACCTACCAAATGTAGAAAAAACATTTTAAACCCATATTGTTTGATAGAACAAAATTTGCTCACCTAGCCATACATATAATAACTCAGTAAAAAGAAACCTCGTTTTTCACTACTAGTAAAGAATACTCATTTATGTTAGTCTGAGACAAACCAGTAGTAACCAAACATTTTGAATCTCCAAACAAACACCAAAGTCTATCAAAGTCAAAATCCATCTAAGAAACCTCTCGTTTTTCACTACGAGTTAAGCAATGATTGACGTGTCAAATCACAAGAGGCTTAATTACCATCAGATGATCATGGATCAAATTTTGAGTCTCTTTCTCTTCAAGTCTCAGCAGGATAGGTGTTGGAGTTGTGGTGGTTAGCATATCCTCATCCATTGTAGTAACCTTGTCCTCGTTGGGAGTATCCTCCATTCCACTGCTGCCCTGAGTCTCCTCTCCACTGCCACAAAAATTAGTCAACTTAAGAAAATTGGAGATGAATTCATCAAACAAGTGACATAAGAAACAAGAACCTGATGACTTCAAAAGTAAACAGAGGAGTAGGAAGACGTTGTAAACATAATAATTCTCTAAAGTCTTAGGAGGAACAAAGAAAATCAATATCAAGATTAGTTTGACCATGTTAAGGGATGCGACAAGTTGGCAACGGAGTTCATGTGTTAGATAGTCCCACTTGGTGCTCTAGTGTCAACCACTAACTATAGTTAGTTTATATATATACACGTTTCTAATAACACAACAAGGATTAGAAAAAGAACTCCTAATTAACAAAGTTTGACCCTATCAAAATGCTTGATTTTAGTCCACTGGAGAAAAATAAGCACCTGTTTGTTCGGGGTTCTTCCCCAGGAGAGTCTGACAGTGTTCTTTCCGATGACTGTCCCATTCAAACTCTAGATGGCATCATCAGCACTCTTTCTCCCAAAACAAAACAGCAGCAAATCTTTTTGAAATCACACGTTTTTCAATATATAATAAGCATCTAAAGGTTCTGTTGGTTCAGTCTTAGGTAAAAGACCGCACCTGTTATCTAATTGGACAAATCCACATCCTTTGCCTACTGGGATCTTCACTGAAACAACCTTGCCAAACTGAGTAAAAGGTTCTCTAAGGTCTTCTTCAGTAACATCAGGGTCAATGCCGCCAACGAATATCTGCAGTAGGATAAGAGAGAATGAACAACGAGGCAATACAGAGGTTGGATAATAAAAAAACTTGGCAAAAGACTATATATGATAACTCATTGTTGAGTTGTTTGATTCGCCATCAGACATGGAACCATTTGTTTCATGTCCACCAGCCAGAATCACACCTATTCAAATGAAAAAACGTAATTTTTACGCTTGGGTTAACTAATTAAAAAATAATAATTTTCAAAATAAAAAATGTTATTTTATCATTTTAGTTTTTGATGCTATTTTGTGATAAAAATGCCTATTTGAATAAAAAACCCGAAACCAAATCGAAATCATAATTTATGGAAACCATCTAGTATTTCGGTTATATCTGAAACCGAATCGTATAATTTTGGGTCGGTTTTTTTTTCAATTGGCCTACCCTATGTTGTAAAGGTTTAGAGAATCAGCATCTCAAAACTACAATTTTGATTTTTAATTTTTTCGTTTGATTTAAAGAAAAAAATTAATAAACCAACCAATTGTGGAGCATCACATGTCATAGAGTCTAAATGTCGAAATCATAATTTATGAAAACCATCTAGTATTTCGGTTATATCTGAAACCTAATCGTATAATTTTGGGTCGGTTCTTTTTTTCAATTGGCCTACCCTAAGTTGTAAAGGTTTAGAGAATCAGCATCTCAAAACTACTATTTTGATTTTTAATTTTTTCGTTTGATTTAAAGAAAAAAAATTAATAAACCAACCAATTGTGGAGTGTCACGTGTCATAGAATCTAAATGTTGAACCCATTTCACTGCGGAAAGTTCACGCGGTTTCAGTAGAAGCAGATTATAATAAATTTTTTTTTGAGGTTTGTGTGAACTTTTCTTAAAATCCCTCAATGGAATGTTCTTACCAGCGAAAATGATGCAACAAGCACAACCATTAGTCAGAGACAAACCAGTAGTGACCAAAATTTTTGAATCTCCAAACAAACACCAAAGTCTATCAAAATCAAAATCCACCTAAGAAAATTCTCCTTTTCCACTACACGTTTAGCATTCATTAATCACAGGGTTTAAACCAGAATGATCATGATCAAATTTCGAGTCTCTAACTCCTCTTCAAGTCTCAGCAGGATAGGCGTTGGAGTCATGGTGGTTAGCATATCCTCCATTGTTGTAACCTTGTCTTTGTGAGTATCCTCCATTCCACTGCTGCCCTGAGTCTCCTCTCCACTGCCACAAAGCAGACACCACCACATTAAGAAAATTGGAGAGAGTGGATTTATCAAACATGTGTGACATGAAACAAGAACTTGATGACCTCAAAAGTAAACATAGCAATTAGGAAAACGTTGTTGTAAAAAGAATCATTCTCTAAAGTCTTAGGGAAACGGGGAACAAGTAAATCAATATTCTAAGATTTGACCATGTTAAGGAGAGTGACAGGCTGGGCATGGAGTTCACGTGTTAGATATTCCCACTTGATGCTTATATTCAACCACTAACTATAGTTTATATATATATATATATATATACAACAAGGATTAGATTAAAACTCTAATTAACAAGGTTAGACCCTATCAAAACACTTGATTTTAGTAGTAAAATAAGCACCTGCTTGTTAGGGGTGGTTCTTCCCCAGGAGAGTCTGACAGTGGTCTTGCCGATGACTGTCCCGTTCAAACTCTGTATAGCAGCATCAGCACTCTTTCTGCCAAAACAAAATAGCAGCAAATCTTTTTGAGACCACACATTTTTTCAATATATCATAATAAGCAACTACAGTAAAGACCGCACCTGTTATCTAATTGGACAAATCCAATTCCTTTGCCTACTGGGATTTTCACTGAAACAACCTCCCCAAACTGTGTAAAAGGTTCTCTAAGGTCTTCTTCAGTAACATCAGGGTCAATGCCACCAACAAATATCTGCAATAAAATAAGATGAAATGAAACAACGAGCTTGCATAATAAAAAACCATGGGAAAGGCTATGGCAACTAACTGTTGAGTTGTTTGATTCTCCATCAGACATGGAACCATTTGTTCCATGCCCACCAGCCAGAATCACACCTATTCAAAAAACGTAATTCAATAACTTTACAGTTCAAAAACTTTGTTAAGTGCATCAATCATGATAAAGAAACCAAACAAAGTATATGTCACCTTGTGAAGAATAATCAGCAACGGCTCTTTTAGGTGTCGCAATACCAACACGCATCTGCCTGTTGGAACAATACTCTCCATTCATTTCTGTCAAAGCCCTTGATCTCTCACTTTCATCACCAAACCTAACAAAACCGTAACCTTTAGACCGGCCAGTGTTGGAGTCTATCACAACTTTAGCGCTCTTGACAGATGGATATCTTTCAGTAAACAGCTCTTGCAATAAAGTGTCGGTCACATCTGGAGACAAGTCTCCAACGAATATAGATAGCTCTGGACCATTCTCAACAGCTCTCTTCTCACCGGTGCTAAAAGACGCCCAGTTTAGACGAAAGAGCTGCTCCGAGTTTGGCATTATAGAACCATTAAAGTTCTGAAGAGCCTCTTCAGCTGCAGCACGTGAAAGAAACTCAACAAAACCATAGCCTTCTGATTGACATGTTAGCTTGTTACGAATCACTTTCACAGAAGAAAGCTGCACATTAAAATAAACAATAATCCATAACAAAACTCAGAGAGAAAAAAATGCATGGGAACTATGCTTATTTAATTGACCTTATCAATGAAAAGACAGCCAAATTAAGTATGGTCTCTCTATTTAATTTTTGTCAACTAAACCATTTTTAAGTATGATCTCAAGTTGTGGTGTATAATAACATCTCTATCTGACGATGTCAAACTTACATAAGAAACTAATACACCTTTGTTAGCTAGAGAGTCATCACAGATATTTGCGAATCCTAGGAATATGAACATTGCCAAGTTTAGATGAACTTTTAGTTAAAAAGTTAATCTAAACGTGGCAAACGTACTACAGTACTTTTTGGCTAGCTAAATCTGAACGTGTCCTGTCCTTTTCAGGTCAATACTGTTATCTATTAAGCTATTTGTTTCTATACAAATTCAACAATCAATCATTGGATCTAACCCTATCAAAGCAGTTTCAAACAAACAAAAATGAAAAATTGCCATAAAAAGAAAATTCAAGAACATGTTCAAGATCTGCAAACAAGATCACTTTTCACGTTATAATCATTCATTCTTGAGATGCATCTATAAATATATTACCTCGCCGGTGTGAGAAAAGCAGGTGTGGAGATAAGCCTCGTCCATCCAATGAAGAAGATCACCAATCCATAGAGTCTTCACCTCATCTCCAGATCCACCACGCTCATGTGCCTTGTGTTGCTGTTGCTGGTGATGATACGACGCGTATTGGAAGTGAGGATGGTGCTGATAATTGTAAGGAACGTATTGGTGAGGATACATCATCATCTGTTGCTGCATCATCATAGCCGCAGCTCCTGGATACTGCATGGCCGCCATCCAATGTTGCTGTTGTTGTTGCCACTGTTGAGGCGGCGGAGGAGTCGTGGCTCCGGGAGTTGGTAACGATGAATCTGAGCCGTTGATCGTCTGCATCTTGAAACTAATTGTTGTTAACTTTAGAGAAGTAAGATATCAGATCTTGCCTCTTCGGGGAAGAAGTGTGTAGAGAGGATAGAGAGCTCGTTGAGCTCTGGTAATGGCGGGGGGAGAGAGAGAGAAAGAGAAAGAGAGGTTTGGTCTTAAAAGGGAGGCGGGGGAGAGAGAGAGAGAGAGAAAGGCTGTTGAATCTATGGGTCTTTGGGAAATTGTCGAAACGTGGGGCCCAGTTATTTTCCGAAGCTTGTGTGTTTTTGAGATCGACGGTTCTGATTTCACCGCAGTTTAATCCACTTGCATTTAATTTTACTAGGGTTTTTGTAATAGCTGATTTATTAATTAATCAACTCACCAGGAGGAATCTCTATAATATTATTTGATAAGTCAGTATCTTAGGTGTCGCGCTCATATTAACTCTCACGCTGGTTGATTACTATGATATTAGGTGATTTGTCCGCACATGCGGGCGTAATTATCTTTAAATCAATTTTAAAAATCATCTAAATAAATGACTATTTGCTTTCAAAAATTTAAGCTAAAATATTAAACTTTTTTTACCTGATAAAGTTATTCACAAATTAAAATAAATCTACCTCTTTCTTTTAAGTTTTAAAAAATCTAGTATATTTCTTTTCTTCTTAATTGATAAAAATATAGAAATCTATCTTTCAATTTGAAAAAAATGAATCAAGAAATATACATTCAAAAATTGATCTTACAGAAAGAATAATATTAGTTAGGATAATAATACAATATATTTAAAAATTAATTTTGTCAAATACGTATTTTCTTTCTTTTTGAATGATCTTTTATTTTATTATGATTAATTCATGTTTAAGGTTTAATTATAAAAAATATAATAAAAAAAATTAATTTAACGTGTAAATCCAGAGGCAAAATAACTTCACAAATATATATCATTATATTATATTATTATATTATTATATTCTTTTAATTTGAAAATAATTTACGTATTATAATTTTTTAATTTTATATTTTCAATTATATACAATTAAAAATTTTACTTTATGAATATTTATTTATGTGTTTTCTGTTTTTGAATTTTTTGACTAAATATATTTTTTGGATAACAACACAATATATATAGGAATTATGTTTTTTTATTTTTAAATATATATTTAGATTATAGATAATTCTTATCATTGTTATTAATTTAAATCATTTATCTAATNTTTTTTGGATAACAACACAATATATATAGGAATTATGTTTTTTTATTTTTAAATATATATTTAGATTATAGATAATTCTTATCATTGTTATTAATTTAAATCATTTATCTAATCAAATAAATATTAATTTCGTTTTTATTATTGGATGATTTATATATTTATTCATTAAGGGTATAAACGATATTAACCACTCTAACTTGTAACGTGGGAGCTCCGTTGCGAAAAATCACTTCGCAAATAATAGTATAGATCCCTAATGAATTAAAAATATATTTAAATATTATTATTTACTTTTTAAAATCTTCTAAATAACAATATAAAATTAAAAGTAAATATTTCTAAAATTTACAAAACTATTTAAAAACGAAAAAATAAGTATATATATAATATGGTTTCATAAAAAAGAAAAGTTTACAAAATAGTAGTAATATTTAACTTAAATATATTTTTAAAGAACATAAATTATACTTTTTAAGTAATAAAATACTTTATATATATATATATATATATATCTTCTTAGATGAAAACATATTTGTATATAATGTGTTTTCATAAAAAAAGTTCATACAAATAATCTTGATATTAGAAAAAAAAATATATTTTTTTAAGAAAAAAATTTAAACAAAAAAAAAATATATTTTCAAAGTAATTATTTTTTGTATATATCTATCTATTTTATTAGATGATTACATAAAATAATTAAGTAACATAAAACTAATATATGTTTAATTGACAAAAAAAAATTATAATTAGTATTATTGAAATATTTTTTAGTATATTTATTTGATTATAATATTTTACAATTACAGCAAAAATAAAAAATCATCTTTTACTTATATAATATAATTTCTCAAAACAATCACATTTACTGCATATTTTAAGAGATATTAAAAAAAACTAAAAATAAATTTAATAATAAACATCTTTTGATCAAATAGATATATTTTATTTTAATAGTTAAAATTATCTGTTTTCTTAATAACTCTCTTGATATTTAATTTTCTGTTTTTATGTTTGTGGAATTTAATATAACCATAATCAAAATACTTAGCAAATCAGAATTTCTTATTTTTAAAATTATTTAAAATAAATTCGAGTTTACCATCCAACCAATCTAAAGCATAAATTACTTAGAATTTATAAAATATTTTAATTATTATACTTAGAATTTATAAAATATTTTACTTTATTATAAATATTGATATGTGTTCATAAGCTTCCAAAATTTTATTATTACTTATGTATGTAATTTAGAATCAGACACTTAATTTTTTTTTTTTACCTTCTAAGCACAGAAAAACTTAAAATACATAATCTTACAAAGATATAGTTATATTTCTACGATAACAACCAATATAAATGTAAACGAAACAATTAATCAAAAATTTAAGGTATTTAGAATACCAAAGATTATAGTTGAATTCAAAGAAATAGATAGAATCAAATGATAAAACTGACTAAATATAATATATCTAAAATTATATATAACTACAATAATATAATATTATTAATATAAATTATACATAAAACTATAAATTAATATAAAATTTAAAGTAAATATCAATCAATTATTATAATATATTTATTTTATAAATATTTGTGCCCGTGCATGAGCACGGGAAAATCACCTAGTCATAACTAATAAAAGGAGACTAGAGCCTCCACATCGTATAATCTCTTTTTGAAAAGAAGTCACGTGGCATTATTCATATTATTATCATATTATGTTTAGTTATATATTTTCAAAATATTGATATAATCTATAATTTTACATTTTAATATTATTGATAAATATAATTTCAAAATAATAAATGATAACTAATAAAAGGAGTCGTTTGAGACTTTAATGAGCTTACACATCATCGTATAATCTCTTTTCGAAAACAGACCATAGAAAACAAGCCACGTGGCATCATTCATATAATTACCATATAATGTTTAGTTATAAATTTTCAAAATATTGATATAATGTATAATTTGACATTTTTATATTACTGATAGATATAATTTCGAAAAAATAATAAATAAAATGTAAGTATACAACAATATAAATGGAAATACTACATTAAACATATATATAATTTCGAAAATAAAAACAATATGTAAATATAAAATATTAGAAATGAAAATAATATATTAAACATATGTAAGATCACCATTTTACATTTTTAAAAAATAATCCAAAAATATTGAAGATATTATTATCTTATTATGTTTAGTTTTACATTTTTTGAAATATTGATATAACGTATAGTTTTACATTTTAATATATAATATAAGAATTATATATATAATAATAATAAAAATACACAATTAAAAATGAAAAAATTAAATTAAGCAATAAACATCTATTTTAAATGCAAAATATAGATATTAGTAAGTAAATATATAATATACAAAAATCATAACTAATAAATGTAATTCATAATTGTCAAAAATGAAAAAAGTACATTAAACATTGAACAACTATCTTAAAATGTAAAATATAGTTATTAAGTAAAATAAAGAATAAAATAGAAATACACAGTATAAGGAAAAATAAATAATTAATAAATAAACAATTTAAAATGTATATAGTACATTAAAAGTAACTATAAATTTAAATATGTAAATATATAATATATGAAAATAATAATAATAAATAAATACACAATTCAAAAATGGAAAATTTACATTAAAGATTAAACATCTTTCTTAAATTATAAAATATAGATATTAAATAAATAAAATATAAGAAATAGAAATAAATATTATCAAAAAAATAAATAATAATTAAATACATAATTTAAAAATGGAAATATTACATTAAAAATCAATATCTATCTTAAATGTAAAAAATAGACATTATGTAATATAAAAGTAAAAGAAACGGAAATACACAATAACGGAAATACACAATTTATGAAAAACTAAATAATAAATAAACATAGAAATTAAAAACTGGAAATACTACATTAAATATTTGTAGTATACATTTTAAAATGTAAATACAGAATATATATGAAAATAATAGTAATAAGTAAATACACCATTTAATAAAATAGAAAAATTACACTAAGCATTGAATATCTATCTTAAAATGTAAAATATAGATATTATGTTAATATATAATATAATAATAATAATAATAATAACAATATTTATAAGTATATATATACACAATTTTAAAAAATGAAATAATACAATAAACATTAAAAAAACTATCCTAAAATGTAAAGTATAGATATTATGTAAATATATTATACCAAAAAATAATAATAATAAAAAAAATATACAATTAAAAAAATTGGAAAAATTACATTAATCATTAAACATTTATCTTAAAATGTTAAATATAGATATTAAATAAAACAAAGTAAAAGAAATGGAAATACTCAATATAAGAAAAAATTAAATGATAAAGTAAATATATAATTTTAAAATGAAAATGGTACATTAAAAAGTAAATACATATTTAAATATGTAAATGTAAATAATAAGTAAATATATAATATACCAAAATAATGATAATAAGATAAACAATTTCAAAAGTGAAGATGTACACTTAGCATTAAACATCTTATATATTTAAATAGAAGTCATGACTTGACTTCATGTGTGATTTTTTTAAAAATGGACTATTATTAGAAATTTATGTTAAATTACCTTTCTAATAATCTTATCATTATTATATCTTATGAAAAATCATATCTATAATAACAAAGATACGCGTAACAATTTGGTTTTGGTAAATTACCCCACACCTTCCAACTTAGTCATGCAAAATATGTCAATAGATATAAGTTTAGGAATCTTCTATTATTTATAAGGAAATATGTCAATAATAGTTAAATGCATCCATAATATATTAACAAAAATCACAGATTAGTAATATGGAACATTTATATTCCCTAACAAAATTTACACGCTATATATATTAGATAAATTTATTTCGATGTAAATTTTTAAAATTATATTGTTTTAAGAAAAGGAATTGTTTCTTTTTAATAAAATTCTTTCTAATATTAATTTATGAAGCTATAAGTTTAGTTTTTAGCAAAAATTTCTTCGAAGTTTATATTATCTTTGCAAATTAAAGTATACTAATATTTAATCAAGCTCTATTTATATTACTTTATCTAAAAATGAAATATTAATCTAACAAACAATAAAATATAGAAAAAGAAACAAACACATGTTTGAAAAACATGTATAATATAGAAAATTTGAAACAATCTATTTGGTTAAAAAACTTATTATATAATATTATTATGTTTGAAAAACATTTACTATGCATATCGTAAATATGTGATTACTATAATATATACCAATTTACAAGTGAAAACAAAATGTTTATATAAATAATTATAAACGAAAACAAACACCCGCGCAGTTGCGCGGATCAAAATCTACTCTATTATATTAAAAGAGAAGTCACAATTTCTTTTCATGTGTGATTTTTTTAAAAATAGACCCTTCTTTAGAAAAGTTGTAAACTTATCTTTTGTATTTGTATAATAAAATCTTAACAACCATATTTAATTTCCATTTTCATTCTCTTAATACATAAGAACATCTTAAAACTAACAATACATTTATATAAACATTTAAGAGTATTTGCACTCCATACACACACAAAACACCTTATTTAGCTCCATACCCTATTTCTCTCTTCTCTTTCCTTCCCCGCATCACTAATTTTTCCCCCTAAAATATGGCAAATCCCTAAATATCTATTTCTTTTGGTATTTTGAGCTAAATCACTCATACCCGCGCGGTTGCGCGGGTAAAGATCTAGTCTATCTTAAAATGTATGATATAAATATTAAGTAAAATAAAGTATAATAACTGGAAATACATAGTATAACGAAAAATAAATACTAAGAAAATACACAGTTTAAAATTTTAAATATAAAATGTTAAAATATACAGTTAAATATTTAAATATATAATGCATGAAAATAATAATAAATAAATACACAATTTTTAAAAAATGGGACATGTACATTAAGCATTAACATCTATTTTAAAGTGTAAAATATAGATATTAAATAAATAAAGTACACAAATGGAAATATACAATGTGATGAAAATAAATAATAATTAAATACATAATTTTAAAAAAAGAAAATATTACATTAAAAATTAAACATATAGATATTACGTAGTATAAATTATGAGAAACGGAAATACACAATATAAGCAAAAATAAATAAGAATTAAATTTAAAATTTCTAAAACGGAATAATACATTAAAATTTATATTAAAATGTTAAAATAAATAAATAAGTAATATACAATATAAAAATTGGTAATATCACAAAAATAGACCTCAAACATTAAAATGACCAAAATAGCATTTTATATTTTGAAAATTTTAAGTCTTTTTAATTTTTTAAAATTTAAAACCATATCCCCAAAACCACACTCCTCAACTCTAAACAAACAAAAATCTAGGATTAGTTAACCCAAAAAGTATAAATTTATATTTAATGAAACATTTAAGTGATAATTTGGTCATTTTAATTGGTAAAGTCTATATTAATTTTTGTTATAAAATGTATAATTTTACATCAAACAATTCCCTATAAGGTTATAACACTCATTATTTCATCGACATCAAATTCACAACCATCAAAGAAGACTCCAAAGAACAAAAACCAATGGTTCCACTATAAATTTTTGCCATCCCAAAAACGTTTGAAGAACTGGAATATGATTTTTGTAATAACAAATTTTTGGTTAGGCTGATTCATTGATGGGAAAGCCCACAACTTCCAAAACAAAAACCTACTCATAGGATTAGATATTCTTCTTAAAACTCAAAGATATTCCCCCAAATTAAATTATTCTAATCCATAATTTTCTTAGATTTCAAATTACTTTTTTGGTCCAATTGATTTTAAAAATTATATAATCCCAACACTATATAAAATATATTAAATTTTGTGTATAGTATTTTAAATTAAATAACTGTAATTAACCAATAGTAATGTTATGCTTAACATATAGTTTTTAAAAAGCTTTCAAACATAGTTTAAAGAACATAATCGGTGATGAGTTTAATTTCTTAAATTATATTATTATTAAAAACTTAGGTTTTTGAAAACATAGTGAGTGATAAATATATTAATTTTTTTAAAAAATATACATAAATTATATAAAAATTAATCTTCCAAACTTAAAATATTTTATTATATATAATGTTGTTAAATAAAAATATTTTAAGCAATTTTTTACATATAACAATAAATGGTTATTTACATATAATGATTAAGATGTACCTTATACTATCATTTGACATGTATTAGATACATTTTAAGATATCACTATTTTCTATTTTTAGAAAAATAATAAATGGTTAGGCATCAAAATCATTTAGGTTAAGCATACGAGCAATACAAATTTAAAGATCACAAAAATTTTAATCTCAATAATATTTAATTAAAAATACAATGTAATTTTTTTAAGATTTTTTTTTAACACTCAAAATATAATGTTCAAAAGAATAGTTATATACTTAATATTTTTGAAAATCAAAGATGTTCCGCGCGTAGCGCGGATTAATTCCTATTGATTGGGTAAATAAAGAGTTAGCTGTCTTTAATTAGGAATCCTAAACTCGACGGATCAAACAAAGTGATGGGCCTTATATAATAAATACGCAAAGCCTAAACAAAGAGGATGAACTACACTCTCAACTTGTTCCAGAATCTTTAAAAGCTACATTGAATCTATCGATTAGTCCCATTCTCAAGTATATCTGTATATGTATACATAATTTATACAAGGATTGCAAGTTAAAAATCAGTCAATCAGCTTTTCAGTATGTTATCAAACTCTTTATGAAAATGTAGCAAATAAGAGAAGGTTATATATATTAACTCATAGCGCCAGAATAAAATATACATCAATGATCTGAATGCCAAAAATCAAGATCATAATGCCTCATATCATCCGCATTTTAAGACTTCATGATCATGTGATGATGAGATCGTAGAGCCATATTATTTTTGCTTATTGCTTCACATCCTCTATATATATATAGTCTATAAATGTGTTAACGTTGCGATTCCTGAACCTTTGATCAAATTCCTAGACTTTCAACTATTATGAGAGTGTTCTTCACAGGACCATAGAATAAAACATAGAAAGGAGGGTCGTTCGGAGAATAAGGAGAGAAGGAGTTTTGTACATCTTCGTCGACCATATATGTTTCTCACGATCCACTAGAAGTATAGAACCCACAACTTGAGAAATCCACTGCCTCCATCAATTATTTTAGCAAGACGTATCGATAATATTAGGAATAATGTGATATATATGTAATCATACTCTTAAAATTCTGTCAATAAGCATAAAGACTTGAATCAGGCAACGCAAAAAATTATTCACATAGTTAAAGAATTCCAAAAGAAGGAAGATGATCAAACCTAATAAACCATGTCTATAATTTGATCTAATTAATAATAGCTGCGATTTTCTTAAAAAGAAATGATTCCCACACAAATGTTCAATAAAACAATGTTCATAACTCATCAGAAGCTGCATGTCAATAGACGAGAATCTGACATCTGGCAGAAAGCTTTGTGGATGTAAGAAGAAGCTTCTTGTAACTCTCTGCCTCTCGTTTGGGCGTATAACAGTATTTGCAACTCAGAGTCAGTTTCTTGAGGACTGGTGAATTCTCAAGAAAGTAATTCACTAGTTTAATCCCAGTTTCCTCCTCAATAATCCTTACGCTAATCGTAACATACTCCAAAGTGGATGATAAACACTGAGGTACGTTGGTCCAAAAAGATTTGACCAAAGGAAAACCAGTGAACCCTGATGGATAACAAGATGAAGCTTCCAGGGTAAGATTTTTTAGAACGGGAGAGCCTGAGATGAGCTTCTTCATAATCAAATGACCATCGCCGCACAAGTAATCCATAATAGCAAAACCCGTATTATTAGGCCTCAGGAAATAATTGTTTTCAAGATGCATGATCTTGAGACAAGGTAGAGAAACATCAAACTTGGGGTCTTTAAGCCATATATATACGAGCTTCAAAGACACCAATGTCTTGCTCACATAAACACATTGAGGCAAGATACCTAAACGACGTGGAACCCCTCGGCTTTGAAGATCAAGATGTTGAACTCGGCGATGAACCACTTGGGTTATCCACTCCAGGCTGTTACTAGACTCATACCCTAATTTTGTAAAACGGGAATATCTCATCTTGAACTTTTGTAGACACGATTCGCGGTTAAACTCCAAAAACCTGTCCATGAAACTCAACAAGGGTTCTCCATAAGGAAGGAAGTCAATGGCGTTTAAGTCCAGCGCAGAAACATTTAGCCAAAGAAACTCCCATCTCTTCGATAAAACGCTAGTCTTAACTGAGTCTTTTGTCGAAAGGTATGAGAGTATATGAGTTAGCAAAGAATCCGGAAGTTCGCTGATCCTATCGCAACCCATCCTTAGAGCATTCACCAAAATCTTGATCAGATCCTAGGGGCTAGGGCAGGCTTCTCAAATTTTTATCCCAAAGATTAGGGTTCAAGGCCATTAAACGTGCAAGAGGGAGGTAGTAATCCTGGACGTTCAGTTTCTCTTCTCCAATATAATTCACAAGCTAGGTTGAAGGCCCATGACCCATTAATCTCTACTAATTCCAATACCTTCCATTTCCAAACTAATTAATAATTAGTAAAAAACAAATTGATTTTGATCTTCCATCTATGATATTATTTGAAAACTAATTTTACTAAGTTATCAACTTCTCTATGATTTTAGTTAATTTTATATATTTTCATGTTTTAATAATTTTATATATAATTTATTATATAATAAAAATAATAATATTATATTTTTAGAAAATAAGTCGATTCTTTTGTATTCGATTGTTATCTTGAAAAAATATTTTCTGTTATAAAATTTAAATGAATTTACTGATTTGTTACTTTCTTTTTTTTGGTATAATGATGATTTGTTATTTTCTATGATTTAGGTAAAATTGCTTATATTTAATGTTTTTAATAATTTATATAGAATTTATTATAGAATAAAACAATTTCTATTAATAAGATTATATTTTTTAGAAAATAAGATAACTCTTATGTATTATATTGTTATCTTGAAAATATATTTTTTATTATAGAAATTAAAATTAAAATATAAAAATTATAAGTAAATATAAAACAAGAAACTTTAATTTTTCATTTTCTCCATAACTTTATGTAATTTTGCTTATTTATCAGGTTTAGTTTCATATATAATTTATAATATATTAAAAATAAGATAATTCTTATGTATTAGATTGTTATCTTGAAAAAATATTTTCTGTTATAAAATTTAAGTGAATTTACTGATTTACAACTTCTCCATGATTTATATATTTTTGCTTATTTTCATATTTTAAATAATTTATATATAATTTATTATAGAATAAAACAAATTGCTATTAATAATATTACATTTTTAGAAAATAATATAATTCTTATGTATTACACTGTTATCTTGAAAATATATTAGAAATAAAAAAATAAGATATAAAAAGTTTATAAGTATATATAAATTAAGAAATGTTAGTTTCTCATCTTCTCCATGAGTTTAGATAATTTTACTTATTTTCATGTTTTAATAGTTTCATATATAATAAAAAAAAGAATTTCTATTAATAATATTATATTTTTAGAATATAAGATAATTCTTATGTATTAAATTTTTATTTTGAAATATATTTTCCATTATAAAATTGAAGTGAATTTGCTGATTTGGAATGTCTCTTTGGTTTAGGTAACTTTTCTTATATGTCTTATTTTTAATAATTTATTACATAATTAAATGTTAATTTTTATTAAAAATATTATATATTTAGAAAACATAAATTATAACTTATTCTTATTTTTAATTAATAAATATAAATTAATTAGTATATATAAGAAAATTATGTTTGCGTGTGTTGACAAAACACCTAATTCTTTATATATGATATATGAGGTCATTTAATTATTTTTTAATACTGGTATTCCATCGTACAATTCTTATTCTATTAAATTTCACGACTTAATTTTTTCATAACATTCAGATCAAATCAAGGATCGTTCTGCGTCGTTCGTTTTGTGATATGTTTTCTCTGCAATATACGCCACAATGAACAGTTCGGCAAACTTTTTAATTTTTTTATAAATTTACATTTTAATCTGAAAAAAATTATCAAGAAAATAAAATTCCAGATTAAAGATTATATATTTGATTACATTAATTTAATAAATAATTTTATGAATTTTATCTTATCTATTAAGATTTCTATGATTAGGGAATTGATTACATTTAATTTAATGAATTATTTTATATGGAAAGATGAAAAAAAACTATACTTCAAAGTTGAATTTATTATTTTTGTTAACAATAATTGATTTGATTATTTTTTCAGATTTTAATTCTTCTTATGTTAGTGTTTTATGATGTAGATAAATATATTTTAAAATGGTTTAAAATAAGATTGGGGCGTTGTAAATCGTCACACTGATATTTGACTAGACTAGTTTGTTTTCAATTTTCACCCACACACAGACATCTTTTATCTAAATATCAAATTGTATGTATTTAGTTATCTATGGCTTCACAACACATATTTCACTTTTTAAGAAATCAGAATGGGAGTAATAAATCTTTTATTATATAAAACAGAAGTCAGTTGACAATTCTCTAAATGACATGTGTGTTTTATATTTCCAAATAAGTTTTTTTTTAATGAAATTAGCTTTTATAAAAATTATGTATAGTTTTTTCTGTAAAACCAATCCCACTATCTTTTGATCTCCCACGTCTTCAACTTCTTTTCCTTTTATATATGAACTGATAACTGAAGTTGTACACAAAAACATTTACATTGATCAGAATACACATAAAATATTTACATATTAATAAAAACAGAAAGTAAAAAAAATCTACTTTTAAACATACACTTAAAAAAACTAATGTCATAAAAGATTATTAAAAGTAAAAATAATTATTAAAGAAAAAAAATTGACTATCACTTCATTATTAGATAAAATATTATTTAACCGTAATAATTTTAATAAAATTAAACTGTATTATAAATATATTTTTTATTTTGACTGTAGTTAATTTTAGTAACAATATTAAAATTACAATTAAAAATTCTCTTAAAATCCTACAAAAATAATAAGAATAAAAAATATTTTTATTAAAAACAGCTTATGTTGTAGTTTAGAATTTAAATTTAAATGGTAGACAAAAAAAATTGTTCATTCTTAATAATTTGGAATAGTTATTATTTTGTTACTAATCTCTTTTTTATTTATTTATGCTAATATCAGTGCATAAATATAGAATTGTTAATATTTCAAGAAAAGACCAAGAGGATGATTGTTTGTAGTTTTTGATTTGGTTTTTGGTTTTAGTTTTTCCAAAAACCATTTTTCACCCAATCAAGATTTTCATAAAATGGATTCCCTAAAATATAGGGAAACTAGTTTCTACAAATAACTGTTTTTTGAACACAAAAGCCAAAAACCAAGTTTTTGTAGCTTTTGTAAACATACGATGGGTTTTTCAAAAAAAAAAAAAAATTCAAAAACAATATTTTTTACAATATTTAGGCATTAATATAAGATAATAAGAAAAAGGATAATAGATGTATACTAGTAAGAAGCATTTGCTTACACAATATTAAAATAATTGATATTAATACCATTCTTTTAATTTGTCAATAAAATTAAATTAATTATTTTAAATGTTATTTTCTAAAAACTGTACCAAAAACTAAATTTGTCAAAGCTTTATTGTACTAAAAACTGTTATAATATTTAAAATGTTATTTTCTCTAATAATAAAATGATGTAAACTAAAAACGCATATAAAATTTTTAAATTTATCAATAAAATAAATTTAAAATTCTGAAGTTAGTCATTACAAAAAGATATATATATATATATTACTGATAAATTTTGTGGTATTATATGAAAGGCATTCAAAATAAAATTTCTATATCTATGAGATTCACATTAGTTTTATTTAAAAATATTTTATTAAATAATTTACGTGTCCTTTTGATGATAGTACTTTATTTTCTTATTTATTCAAAAAAAATTATTAATTCATTTGATTATTTTTAAAAGCAAAAAGCAAAAACCAAAAACTAAAATCTAAAACAACCATTCATGTTTTTTGAAAAACTAAAATCTACTACAAAATCAAAAACCAAAAACTAAAAACCAAAATCTAAAAACCAAAAACTAAAAACTAAAAACCAAAAACCAAAATCTAAAAACTAACAAAACAATCATCACCCAAATTTTTTAAAAAAATTAAAAAGTCACGTACATCCTAGGAAACTAGGAAATTGTGGTTTTTGGTTTTTGTTAAGAGATAGGTAGTTATTTTCAAAATCTGGTTTCCCTAAATTTTAGGGAATCTATTTTGCAAAAACTTGATTGGTGAAAAAGTAATTTTTACAAAATCAAAAACCAAAAACTACTTTAGAAACTACAAACAATCAACCTATAGGAGAAGTTACAGACACCGTAAAGTCTACCATTACTGGTGATCAAATGCTCAACATTTCTTTTATTTAATGTTTTTTTTGATAAATGATCCAAATGTTTTCAATCGTAGTATTAGTCAATGATAAGGGGATACAAGGTAATCATTTCTTCCACATCCTTTTCTTTGCTAAATGTTTTGAAAAATATTTTTCAGATTTAAACAGTTGAAGATCTTTTTATCGTTTAATGTTTTAGGGAAAATGACAGACAAGCTTACACAATTGCTAATACTACCAAGTACCAGCCATTACAAAGAAAATTATGCTAGGTTCGCATATCATAAAAAGGTATAGCTATGTATATTTTCATGTATACTCTCTATTTATATTTGTTATTTTGATTAAAGATCCATGCTTTTTCAAAGTCTTTGCTAAAATATTGAGTACTGTATATGATTAATTAAAACAGTATTTCTTTCTCATGATTTTGATGTACATTTATATATTTTTGTTGTTCTATTTTTATAGAATTGAATATTTATAATATATAGTTATCTTTCACGACTGGTAGTTTCACATATTTTGTTTGATTCATTACAAAAATTTGCAAGTTTTCTAATATGATCGCCAAATTTTGTTATATATTTCTTAAGTATCATACACAATGAGTTGCCGGTGAATTTAAAACACTGTTCTTTTTTTCTTCAAATTTCTTCGAAAATCAAAATGCATGTTTTTGTCTCTAAAAAATAACCTATAATTATATACATTTGAACATTCGTTTTTTGATATGACTACTTTTCGTTAAAATTGGTATATGTATTCTCTTATACAATCAGTTTTATCCATGCATAGCATGAGCCATAACACTAGTTAATAATATGATGATGGTGATTTGGGTACGCCAGATAGAAGACATGTGGACGTAGAAAGGGGAAGTTGCATTTGCATGAACACGTTTTGCGTTGCATCCATCTGGCCCCGATTCACCTAGGATGATATATTATCAGATTTGTTTACCATTAAAGATTCGCTTTAGAAAAAAAAGAGACTATATTGAGTTGTTCTCTTGAGGTTGGTCGAGCTTCTAAATGATGATAAATGTTGTTAAAAAAAAAGGTGATAAATATTTAGTAAATAAAAGCAATAATGGTGTAAAACTAAAAAAAGTGATGGGAACAGAGGCACGTGTCCACGCGCCTTTGTCTGCTCTGTATGTAAACAAATGGTAAAAGAATGCCTCAGAGGAACATAATCCCAACCGACTCATGCAATGATGAGATTTACCTTTCCTACTCCTCCGATTTGCTTACCCTTTTTTCTGTTTTCTTATTTACAAAAATTAAATCCGCTTAGTTAATTACTATTTGAAAATTATACTCAAGGATTACGGTTAAGTGAACATAATTTTGAGAATACATACTCCACTCTGGCATTTTACTTTGTCTTATCTAATGAAAGCCAACATGATTACTTATATGTGGACCTACACAAACGGTTCCAAACAAAAACAAAAGAATATTCCGAATATAAAAAAGAACATTAACGAGAAATATATCGGGTTATTTTCTTGAAGTACAGACTAATGGCAAAGCGTTAGAGAGAGAGAACGAGTAGTACAGACCAACTGTAACTTTATGTCATGGTGCATTTCCTTTTTTTTCTCATTTTCTTATTTAAAAAAATTTAATTTTTGGTTCCAAATATTTTCATAATTGTGTACTATAATACCTGCTACTATGAAACATTTAAATAATGTTTTTCTGGGAAATATGTAATAAAAAGGACAAGAGAGACAAATAAAAAATTGTAATAAGCATCCAATCCAATGTTTTAAAATCCAAACAAGAACAACCTTTCCATACTCATGCAATTAAAATAAAAACCCATAGAGATTACTTAATCAAGATCATAAATCCCGACATAAAGCTTGTATTTTTCATTTTGTTTTGTACAACTAACATAGGCTAAACTGATTAGAGAAAGCTGTACAAGTGGAATGTAAGTAGAAATAAAACCTATTTTATTCTTCTTCTTCTTTCTTCCGCATGCTATTTTAATTGACGCCATTTTTCATGGCATAAATCGATCCCACTTGTAACGACCTTGGAGCGGTTTGTCATTAACGATATCGAAGTTGTACCTGCGTGTCGAAAAGTGTTCGTTAACATACATTATCACTCACCCTCTCTTTGGTATAATGATGCTAAAGTACGCGTCGGATCATCTCTTATCCTGCGCAGACATTCTTCCCCAAACCCAAAGCAAACAAACACACACACACACACGTGAGATGATGAGAAGAAAAAATGGAGATTGGGACTCACTTCTCTATGAATCGTTTCTGATCTTTACTCTCTAGCTCCGATAAAAACTCTTCAATCGCTTCCGGCGTCGGACTCTTACTCACTTCCGGTGATGTTTTCCGATCATCTCTCTCCGTCGCCGATGATGATTCCATCTCTGTTGTTTCACTCCCTGGATTAACCTCTTCTCTGTGAGAGATGCGCAGAAACAGAGATCAGAGCGCCAGGAGAAGATGAAAAACGATTAAATGGTTTGAGATCATACGAACCTTAAATTTCTGGTGACGAATGTTGTTGAAGTTTCTGTTTCTGAGATTTCACGAGCCTAACGAACACAAAAAAAAAAACAAAAATTAATGGAAGTTCACAGATTTTTTTTTTTTTTTTTGAAAAAAAAAGAGAGTCATTGAATGATTGTTTCAAGCAGAGATGAGTTTCGGATTTTGAAAAAATTCACCTCCAGATCTAAAGCAACAGTCAGACTTTCCCTCGCGATTTCGTTTGATTCAGTGCTAAAACATCCGGAGATGATGATAGAGCTCTTTTCATCGTCTTCTCCCGCTAAGGTAACAGAGCATCCGCCTCGAGATGAATCATCCGATGAAGCCACAGAAGGCGAAGGAAGAGAGTCCGCTGCTAACGAATAATCATCGAGCTTCTTCTTTTTGAACGGTGAGATGCTTTCGCTCGAGGTTTCAAGCTCTCGCTTGCAGTTAGGATACCTCTCGCTCATCGCTCTCTTTCTCTCTCTAGCTTTTTTGTGATCTCTCTCTGCTTCTTTCTATTTCTGGTTAGCTTCTTATTAAAAAGCAGAGAGGAGAGAGAAGGAGGGACCAAGGAGTCATGAGCCGTTGATTATTTTCAACGGATGAGATTCGATTCCTTGGCGAGCGGACGGAGTTTATAGTTGTAGTCCCGTTGCGAGAGTGACGGTGACCTGTAACGGCGCCGTTACGGAGTTTCGCTTTTTACTTTCACAAACGCTGTTGGGTTTCCAAACGCGGTTTCTTGTTGTTTACCGTTTTGGGATTCCTTTCAAAGTAATTAAAAGCGCAATCATTTATCATTAGTTATGACGTGGTGGAAAACGTAACAATGATCATTTAATAATTTTTTTTTATCTAAGGAAGAAGGATTTATATGTGGTCACCCTCTCGATCGCTGAACGATGTTTATAACTCTCATTAATGATTTGAAATTACACCATTAATGATGTGACGTAGTGATAAATTGAGGGTTATGTATATGAGTGGTTGAGGTGTGGAGAGCCCAGAATGCGTAAGTATAAACTAACAAAAAAAAAAGCATCACAATCTTTATACTCACTAAATAAACACCAGCCAAAAATGATTGAATATGCATGAAAAAAGAAGATACAGATTACGAGATCGCTAATTACATGCCAATCACCTAAAACTCACCTAACTATATGATAACAAATGATGCGGCCGTAACTACTAAGTACTCCATAACTCATCTAGAAACTTGTGTTTTGTTTGTTATCGATCTTTTCAATATTTCAAAAGTTAGATTTTTGAAAGCTCCCATCTGTGAGTTTCTTTTAGACAAAATACACATCAACAATTATCCTTTCATTTTAATCAGTGACACTAATACTAAATCGTGTACATGTGTTTAACCAATATTCCCTCCATTTTCTATTACTTGAAATTATAGATCTGACACAAAAATTTAAAAACATTTTAAACAAAAACATCATTAACTATTTATATAACCACAATTCAACCAATAACAATATAAACTACATAGCATAAGAGTCAGGACCGTCTCAAATAAATTTTTGACCAAGTTCAAACAAAAAAAATTAATGATATATTTATGATTTAATAATTTTTTTTAAAAAGTTAATAACAATTTTTTATATTTCTTTAAAACTATAAGTTCTAATTTAGCAATATATCTATTTTTTTCAAAACAATATCATAATTTATCTATATATTTCTCAAAAATTCTTATTTTTTTCTTTTTTTTCCTTATTTTTTTTTATTTTTTATTTTTATATTTGGGGTCCTGTTCGACCGCTCCACTTACACATGATTAGACGGCCCTGATAAGAGTTATAGCATATTTTAATATAGATTTACATTGGAAAAACGTCTTATTTATAACATTTTTTGTCAAATGTTATCTAATAAGAAATGAAGTGTGTATAAAATAGCGCCATATAACCATAGAGGTCGAGCCATATTAAATTAGAGATAACTATAAATTACAATTTAACCAGTTTTAAACCACTTAATTAACATAAGTAATTCGTATTAAAGAGCAAATGTACAAATGCCAAAACTGGTTCACAAATATAATCACATTAGTATATTGATATATAGTACGACTACTAATTATCTACTCTTCCAAATGAACTGGGACTATTTTGAATAAGAATCATTTAAGTGAATGCAACAATGAATTCGCTGACCAAGTCATTTATTTAGTGAAAGATTAGTTATCGCTCAAACATTTATTCAGTTAAATGGCTGTAACTCGTAATTTTTTAACACTGGATAACAATTACATATCATATAATCAATTCTATTACATATAATAATCCCTGCAACATATGCAATATTGATGAATAATTCTATGGATGATTCCATGATGAAGTTCTTCTCGTAACATTTGGATCGACGAACGGTTTTGTATGTACGATATCTTTGATAGATATATCTACTCCGCAGCAGATGACCACAACGAACGGTTCTACCTACAGTACTCTGGAACCTCCGATAAACTTACATCTTATAATCTACAAAAAATTGCATTGTCTGGATTCCAAACCTCAAACCTAAATATAAAAGCTTTTAAATTATAACCAATAAATTACAGTGTTTCCACAGTAATAATAAGTCGTAATTGCAAGAGAAAATTAGTAAGTTATTTGGTCCATATACTGTTTTGCAGTATATGCCAAGTTGCCAACCACAAAATAGATTTAAGAAAGCATAATTCATGTTCTAACACTAGATCAAAAAGAAAACGCAGAGTAAATGCCATCAAAATGTAAATCAAATTCCTAAAAGGGGTGCATATACAATGAGTTTTTATACATTATCTTATAAAGTGCTCTAAAATGAATCATATAGGAGTATATCAGAACACAAATCGGAATGCGCTTATAATCTCTATTATTTCCACACATACATGACCATAACAAAATTACGTTCGGATTTTGGTAACCTTAAAGAAAAATTCAAGTTAGAGTTTTATAGGAGTAATAGATGAAAAACGAAAAGGTCAAACAATGTAAAATAAATACACTTGTTTAAAAAGATTATATTTTGCTTGAAAGTGGACTGTTAGTTGGTGAGCCCTTTTTTCAGTTGGCGTTGGGATCTGTGTAACGGTCCCAGATCCATAAAAGCTTACATTCATCTTTCTCCTCCTTTAAAACAGCTCAATTTATAGGAGAGGTTCTCACCAAAGGAATGTTTTGACAGTTTATAATAATCTGTTAAGTAACTTATTAGACATATTATTTAACTAATTTTTAAATTAACCTTTTAAAATTCAAATATAATCAAATAAATATTCATATTTCCTGGCTTTTCTTATAAACAATTTATTTATTTTTCTTATTTGTTCTTTTATAATTATTATTGTTGTTTTTGTTTCAAAACGAACCACCGAGTATACTTTACTCAGCAAACTCATCATTTTGGCTGTGATCATAAATTCGCAAGTCAGGTTCATCTGATACAATACTTAAAGGAACCACCTGATTGTGTGTTGCCACTTCCATTATCATATATAATAATATAATATTGTAAGTTATAACAACGTTCGTGACAAGGTCGATTTTTCCTTTTTAAAATGGTAGTTAGGATTAAGGGATCTCTGAACAAAAGAGAAAATACTTGTTTCTTTAACCTTGTGCTTGAGATTTTTAATGGTGAGTGAGTTTTCATTTGTACTTTAAAACGGCATGAACTTTATATAACTATCAAAACAAATCTGATTCTTTGACAAATTAGTATCAGGTAACAAACTACAACTATTTTAAATATCATATCAACTCATTGAAACCCGGCTATAAACCCGGTTCAAGATTATAGCAAATGTAGTAACATTCGTGAAGGTTATCTCCTACCTCGGACTGTCAAATTCGAACACACCAAGGTCAGCATGTCAAACCGAAACACAAGTCAAAGCCATTAAAGACACTCGATCCATGCCGAAAATCACACCACAGTTATAATTCGCCATAGAGACATATAAAAGGCGAAGGATAAGCAAAAACAAGGAAGCCAAATTTTCCAATGCTAAACTATACTTACCACTTTTATTTTTATCAAGCATCTCCTGTATTCATCTTCAGTATCATCAATATTACATTCATTTTACATAATTAATCGTAACCTAATTTTTCTAATTAGAGTTTTCTTGTCAATCAAGTTTTTATTCGTAAACCCTATTTCTGAGTGAGTTTTAGGACTCATCACTTATAACAAGAGAAGGAGTGATAAGATAACATTACATTTACAGAATACTAGGTGGTTGCTGCGAAGTCTTGGTGACAAATAGTTTTTAAAATTAATACTTCCTTTGTTTCAAAGTAATTCTCCTTTCCAGTTGCTACTACTTCCGTGACCTTTGAGGTCTATTGACCTTTCTGAGTTTTTGTTTGTTATTTATTAGCTTTTAGACTCTTTGTCTCTTTATATATATGTATATGATGTATGTACGTCCATGTGTTCTTGATTTTCTCTTTCAGTTCTCAATGATCCATATACATGTTTGATTTTCATATATTTGTTTTTTGGTTGGTAATCATTGTAACTTGTAAGAACCTTTGGTGGGGACACGTAATTAGAAATTTTGGTGCTTCTACCATCCAGTAAATGCCATGATGTTTGTGTATGCCCCTCTGTTCTTAATGCTCCCTTTCAGATGCCAACTAGATAGTTCATGATAATATGCTTTTCTGATTTCATGTACTTTGTTCATTGGAGTGGTAGCAGTTGGATTACTCTAATTACTGTGAAAACCTAATGTTGGGACACAGATCAAACAAAAGATTGAAAAGTATCAAAGAATCCCTGTTTCCGAACAAACCCTTTTCTTCCAAGGCAAGGTTCTTCAAGACGATCACGACATCGAACAATGTGCCATCCTCAACAACTCCCATCTACAGATTATCAGCTCTTGTCCGGGCACCTACCAACAGCGCAACAATCAAGTGCTTAAAACCGAGCAATCTCCACCGTCAAACTCAACAGAACAGATCCTTAACGGTCAAGATTTGCCTGTGATGATGCCTAGGACCAACAACAACACAACAATAACCACCTTAAGAAGCTGAGAGTGATGGTGTTGCCTAAAATTGGGACAATGAAGATTCCGGTGGAGGTGGGAGAACTGAGGAAGGAGCTGGTTAAGGTTCAACAGAGGTTTCAGATAAGTCTGCCTCAAGAAGGCTACTCCTTTATATACAAACAGAATGTGATGGAGGATGACCGGTCATTCCGGTGGCACCACGTTGATAACGGTGATACAATTGAGATTTTCAATCGAAGTGTTTCTGGCGGATCTTAATCCAGCTTCTTTCTTCAAGTCAATTTCTTGTTTATCTTCCATGTCATTGGTTTTCACAGCTTTTTGCAAGTGTATGCTTAGGAAGATCATAAGACATTACCGGTAAGAAAACATTTGATCTGAGTACGAGGAAATTTTTGTTTTGAGTTACTTCTTGTCTAAAGAGGCAATCACACATCAGTTTGAGCTCTGAAATCTTCAAAAATACTTCTGTGTCGGATTATCTAAAAATTCACTGATAGTTTTGCATATAGTAATTAAGAGGTATAAAGATGATAAATTTTTTAATCAGATGAAAAATATTGGTTGAACAAAATGGTTAAAGCTTGTTCATGTCCAAGGGAATTTACTTCCAGAGGCATTACTTTATGTATCCATAAACTTAAAAATTTGGAATGTTGCCTGTGTTGCAAGAAACAAATAAATGCTGAACGTATTGATTATTTTCAGAGTGAAGAAGCAAAAGTCTCAAAGAGGAGTGGCAATACTAAATTAAACTTTGTTCAAAGCAAAAAGAGGAGTGGCCATAGTGATCAAAACATTATCTTATGATGATTGATTCGGGTATGTTCCTGAAGAGCAGTCCAGGCCTTGGAGGCAGAGGAGAAGTAAGGGAGTTAATGGTTATCATCATGAAGATTGAATCTAATGACTTCATCCTTCTAATAATACTAATAATATGCCAAATTCATAGGCTGTTGTTAAAAGGAGACGAGAACTTTTTTTTTTTTAAGGAGACAAGGCTTAGCTCACATTACATAACCAAATTGCAAACTGAGCTATCTATCTAATATAATAAACTGCTACACTTCTTTCCACTATTAACAATCTCAAGAATCAATACGGCTTGTCCAGTAAAACTTCCTCTTTCAGACGCATTTTTGTACTTTGTCAGAGAAACCAAGTTAAAGTCCCCCTCGTGTAAGAAGAAACATCAACAAACAAATTATTCGACGAGGCTTTCATTGACTGCATGAACCCGATATCTTAAATATGGGCCAGGCCCAAACAAGGGCCATTCTGATGGGTGAATTACCCTTTTTTTTTTCTTTTTTAGCAACATGGGTGAATTAACTTATCATTGCAAAAATAACTATGTTAGCCTAGATAAAAACCCTAGCCGTCACAAGAGAAAAAAAAGAGATTTTTTTTTTAGTTTCAAGTCGATGGTCGGAGGTTTCTATAGCTCCGACATCGGTTTGTTTAATTCGTTTTGTTTTTATCTCATTGATTTGCTTTCTTTCTGGTTATTTAAATTGTTTGTTTGCCAATTTATTTTGAATCTGGCAAAATTTTGGATTATTTCTTTGTATGATTTTTCTAATGGATTTGGAAAAACAAAAACTTCGATTCAATTGAATCGTTTAGAAAAGGTAATTGACAGATTTACTGCGATGGTGGCGACGGGTCTTACCGGCTTCAGTCGTTGATGATTCTTCACTTGATGTTGATGATTTCATGATGATGCGTTTATATTTTAAAACATAATATCTCTTAAAAGAACTAAATTAGGAGAACAGACTGAATCAAACCGAAACACAAACCAAACTGAAACTGATCCAACCCAAAGTAATTATGGTTTAATTCACTTTGAAAAATTCTAGAGCCAAATTAATCAAACCAAACCGAATCGATAAAATAACTAAAATACCCAATTATAAGATGAAAGTGAATATAAGTGAGAGACTTAATATAATATATAAGTGAGAGACTTTGGGTTTGAAAGTGAATATAAGTGAGTATAGATTCTTAATATAAGTGAGATAGATACTGTGTTCATTTTACTTTTAAGATGAAAGTGAATATAAGTGAGAGACTTAATATAAGTGAGATAGATTCTGAAATCATTTATTAATACTATGTGAAAGTGTTTTGAAGATTTAACAAAATCAGGTGAAAATTTTACAACCAAAGAGAGATAGAAAGAGTTTTAAAGTGAAATATTGAGGATCATATTAAGGACGAAGGTAAGAGAGTAAATATAGGTGATTGGGAAAGAGTGAATGTAAGTTTGAGAGATTTTGATATTATTTGATCAACTAAGAGAGAGAGAGAGAAAGAAAAAGAGAGCGAGAGAGGTGTACAAAGACATACAAAAATAATGCAAAAAGAGATACATAAGAAACAAAACGAATGTGTAAAAAATACAAAGAGAAACGAAATGAGTAAGATAGAAAAATATATTAAAAACAGAATATCTATGTAAAAGAGAAAGAAAGTTACAATATATTTATACATCTATATTATTTTTTATTCATGCATTGTGTATATTATATTAATGTCCGCACAGGCGTGCGGACCGTCCACTTAGTATCTCTTAAAAGAACTAAATTAGGAGAACAGACTGAATCAAACCGAAACACAAACCAAACTGAAACTGATCCAACCCAAAGTAAACCGAATCGATAAAATAACTAAAATACCCACCTCTAGAAATATCTGTTGATTCTCTATCCAAATATTTTAAAAAAAAATTATATGTTTTTAGGTATTTTGACATAATTCATTCAAATTTGTATGTATTATAATATTTTGTTTTCACATTTTGAAAATTTTTAAATATATAATAAAATTTAGATACTTTTTAAAATAATTTAAACGTGTTATCTGAATCCAAACATAATCCATAAAATTTACAAAGATCCAAACTGAATTACAACCAAAATTTTTAAATATTTGAATATGACTGTAATCTTTAACTCCAAAATTTAACAACACGAATAATTCTGAATCGAAATGCAAAGGGTATGCGAACGTCAAATTGCGCCTATATCCTTTTTGGACCCAATATTAGGCAATTATCCTTGATGGGACTTATCCATTTTTTTGGACCATATTGCCCTTCCTTTCACATGCATGTGATTCTCTCTCCTGACACACTCTATCTCCTAACACACACTCTCTCCCCACAACCTCTCTTTCTCTTTCCTTCGATTCTACTTTCTTTCTCATTCTCAAACTCTTTTATCATGTTAATATCTTTTTTTTTGTGTAAAAATTTATTGTTGCGAAAAATTTATTACTATTTTACTACTATTCTTATGAATCTAAATTATTTTAATTTCACCACATTCTGAATAAATCAGCATTGGAGTTTTTTTTAAAAAATCGCTGAGAAATTAACACTTATGTTAGCTCTTAACAAATAATGTAGATGTCAACAACAGTATTAACTGTTAACAAATACATGTATCAGATGTTTTAACAGAGACATTAACTGTTAACAAATTTTGTAAATGTTAACAGATGTGTTAACAGAAAGCAGTAACTGTTAACAATTTTTGTAGCTGTTAACTTTTGTGTTAGCCGTTAAAAAAATGTACTATACGTGTAAACAGATGTGTTAACCTTTAATAATCGTAGATGTCAATATATTGTTATGTATTATAAGTAAGAAAATTTATATTGTTGAAGTTTCAATTTGGTCCAAAAATATGTGAAAAATAGTGTAAAAGAAAGAAATGAATGTGAAAAATAGATGTATGAAAAGTATGTGTAGTTTAAAGAAAAAGAGATGTGGCAAAAGAGGAAGAATCGTTGGAGAGAGAATATGTCAGATATATGCAATAGCTTATGAGAGTTGGAGAAGGTCAATTTGGTCCAATTCCAAACAAATTGTACAAAAAATTGTCTTAATGTCAACTCATAGGCAAATCACTAATTTAGCTTCCTTTTATGGGTATTTGCCTAAATCTCTCCAAAATTAAATACCCACTTGCATTAAAAAGGAAAATTAAAGAAGAAAAGATAATGTTGAAAAAAAAGAAGAAGAAAAGATATGCATCCACCGAGTCCGACTCACGTTTCAATAATTGGTATTTGTAAGCTCCACCGTTGGATGACAGAAAAAAAAAAAACGGCGTTAAAATAGAATGCAGACAAACACAACACAGGAGTCGTGGGTTATCAACTCAAACCACAAAATATATACTTTCCTTAAACCTAAAATCAAGGCAAAGAAAAGATTATCTTCCATTTAAAAAGGTTGCGTGTAAACAACGCTCAACACACGTGTCTAACTCTCATTCGCTATTGTTTCACCGCCATAGCTTTCTCGTATCTTCCTCATCCTCTTCTATAAATCAAAACCTAAACACCTCTTTCTCCTTCACAAATCGAAATCAAAAACAATCTTCTCAATTCCATCTCTCTCTCTCTAGCGAATTTCAATCAAGGTTAGATTCTTGTTTCTTCTTCTTCTTCGATTAGCTGTTTCGTTCGCTTGTTAATCGATCATCTGTTCTTTGAATTTGAATCGGTTATAGAATTTGTGATTAGCCGATGGATCTCTTGTCGATTTTGATTATTAGGGTTTCGTCTTGTTCGATTACGATCTCCATATTCCTTGGATCGTAACTGATCCTCGTTGCTCTTCGAATTTGATTCGGTTGTAGAATTCAAATCATCTGATAGATCTCGTCGCGATTGTGATTATTAGGGTTCTTTGATTAGTTGTTTAATTACGATTATGGTTTCTTATTCTTTGAATTTCAATACTTGAGATTAACCGATGTGATATTGATTATTAGGGTTCCGTTTCTTGATTGATTAATTAATTGTATATTATTCGTGTTTGTTTTGGTATTTGATCTGAGTTTTGAGTATTGATTGATTGAACTTTTTTGAATTAACAGATGCAGATCTTTGTTAAGACTCTCACCGGAAAGACAATCACCCTCGAGGTGGAAAGCTCAGACACCATCGACAATGTTAAAGCCAAGATTCAGGACAAGGAGGGTATTCCTCCGGACCAGCAGAGGCTGATCTTTGCCGGAAAGCAGTTGGAGGATGGACGCACTCTTGCTGACTACAACATCCAGAAGGAGTCAACTTTGCATCTTGTCCTCAGGCTTCGTGGTGGTATGCAGATCTTTGTCAAGACTTTGACGGGGAAGACTATTACTTTGGAGGTTGAGAGCTCCGATACTATTGATAACGTCAAGGCTAAGATTCAAGACAAAGAGGGTATTCCTCCGGACCAGCAGAGGTTGATCTTTGCC